TCAAAGAGACATACGTTAGCATAACATAATGACTAAGCAGTAGTATTTTCTTTTTTCTTTTTTTTTTTTGTCTTTTTCGTGACCGATAAGGGGATCTCAACCCTTGGTGTGGTGTTGCCCACACCACGCTCAGCCTGTGAGCGCACCGGCCATTCCTATATAGGATCCGAACCCGCGGCGGGAGCGTCGCTGCGCTCCCAGCGCCACACTCTCCCGAGTGCGCCACGGGCTCGGCCCATATTTCTAAAGACTTAGTATTTTAATAATACTTGTCTCTGGTTTTAATGTTAATCTTTTCATTTCAGTTTTTCAAGTATTTGCTTGAGAAAGTAATCAAACTGTGACCCATTTAAAATTTTAATATTTTCATTTGATTTTTAAAAAATTCGGAATCTTGTTTCTGAGTTTCTCTGCTTTATTATTTGTAATTCAAGATGATAATGGCAATAATATCTGATATACTATGTCTTCTGTGGTTTTGCAGATCACGAAGACTGATTTTTAACCTTGAGCAACATTTTGAAAGATGTTTTGATAGGAAAACACTCAACTTGATAGCATATTTTTTAATTACTCCATTATCTTATGCCATTTTATTTTCGTTGGTGGATAGCATTTTGTCATGTTTTAATCTTTGTGGTGGAAAAGTTGGTTAAGGCTTTTCTACATTCTTCTTTGTGGACTTGGAGGACGTTGACGGGATGAGCCGTTCTCCACGCTCCTCATCCTGTGGGGATGTGAATGTGTCTGGCTCCAGTCAGAGCTCAAGTCCCTCATGTTTCCTATTTGCTTTTTTTTTTTTTTTTTCCTTTGAAGCTTCTTAGTCCTTTTCTCTTGCACTGGGCGGTGAGTTCTGGTTTCTTGGGGCTAAAAGTTTGCTTTTCTCCTAGTCTCTCTTGCTTCTCTGATCGGCCTCGTCTAAGATCTCAGGGCTTTGGGGACTTGTTAAACAATTTGTAACTGTCTTTTAAATCATACTGAATTGGCTGAGATTTAAAAAGATGCAAGGAGTGGGGAGTGGTATTAGTTTTCTTTTGTTCTGTTACAGATCACCACAAATTTAGCAGCTTCAGACAGCTCCATTTATCATCTTAGTAAATCAGGTAGAAGTCAGGGGGCTTGGCTGGTCTCTGCTGGGGTCTTGCAGGCTGGAGCTAAGACATCAGCCCACTGGGCTTTGGACCAGAGGTGGGGAGGAATCCGCTTCCATGCTCACCCAGGGTGCTGCCACAGCAGGTCCTCATGGCTGTAGGACTGCTTCTAGCCAGGGAAAGTCTGCTTTCAGTGAGCTCATGTGATTACAGGGGCCCCAGAGACCAGACGGACACTCCTCATTCATCTCACCCAAAGCCAACTGATTAGTCACATTAATTACAGCACCTCCTTTGTGTCATGTAGTGTAACATAATCAGAGGCACGACATCATATAGTCACAGTCCTGAGGATTCAGGCACGATGCCTTAGGGCCATTTTTGGGACTGCATAGGCTTGCTGAGGTAAACCTCATTTGTCATGGACACTAAATAGAAGTATAGACCTAACCGTAACGTATCATTGCAGCCTGTGAGGATAGACGGTAGCATGAGGCCTCTGTGCTAATAAGCAGTCCAGGAGGCTTTGCAGGGGAACCTGGCACAACAGTGAGAGGTGGCCAAGAAGAGTGGGTGGGAAAGAACCTTCTAGGCAAAGGGGGGAAATACGTGCCAGTCCTTGAGACTTGAAAGTAGGTGAGCGTGTGAGGGGAGAGGGGTCACCAACAGGAGGTGGATGCAGGACTGTTGTGGTCTTATCAGGCAAGGATGCCAGGAGATTGGGGCACGGCTTGCACTGCGGAGTTCTCTGGGCAGCTCCCAGCAGACATCTTGGCATCTGTCCTTCCACTTTTCGGTTTCTCTTTTAACTTGAAAGCAATTAAATAACATTTTTTTAAAAAAGTAACGTACTTTTTATTAAGTGCCTTCTTATCTGCTTTTATTTCTGGAAGCTTCTATGACTTTCAGCAGCTTTTGTTTTATTTTATGTCTCAACATGGAATGGCTTTGCTGGAGTCCTGTTAATTAGCAATCTGAGTGGTGGCAGCAAGAAGAGTGTCACTGTGGTCTTTTTAAAAACCGTGTACTTCCTCAGAATGAGTTTTTTTCATGCATGCCTGTCTGATGGAACCCCAGGGAGGCACTGATGCGTGGCTGCTTCTGTGCAGGGGAGCGGCCGTTCCACTGCACGCTCTGTGAGAAAGCCTTCAACCAGAAGAGTGCGCTGCAGGTGCACATGAAGAAGCACACGGGGGAGCGGCCCTACAAGTGCGACTACTGTGTCATGGGCTTCACGCAGAAGAGCAACATGAAGCTGCACATGAAGCGGGCGCACAGCTACACGGGTGAGGAGCGCCCACGTGTGAGATGGCCGTGGCGCCAGGCATTTTGCACGGTGCTCGTGCCTGTGTGGGGGCAGCCTCAGTCGTGTGGAGGAAGAAAACAGGGTTTGGGGAGGCCAGTAGGTGGTGCCTTCAGGAAGGCGCAGAGTCAGGATCAGAAGCCTGTGCTTTGTTCCTTTAGCAGTTAGTATATTGGAGAGAGAGAGGAGAGAGAGAGAGACACACACACACACACACACACACACACACACACACACACACACACCCCCCCCCCCCCCCCCTCTCACACACACACACACACACACACACACACACACACACACACACACACACACGGAGGCACACCCCCCCGCCGGGCGGCCCCCCTCTCTCCACCTCACACACACACACGCACGCACAGCCCCCGCTGGGGGGTCCCCCCCTCTCCACCTCACACACACACACACACACACACACACACACACACGCACA